ACCTCTTCTCCCGTCGCGTCATCGAAGCACCGCTGCTCGTCACACAGCGCGGCCACGGCGGCATCGATGGTGACAAAACTGCGGCCGGAGGAAACCAGGATTGGCTGCTTGTCGCTACGCGACTGCTCCACCCGTTGAATCTCGGCGAAAATCGGGTCTTGCTGGACAAGCTCATTCAGCTGCTGTAGTTCCGCGTGGTTCTGCAGCGGAGGCCCCTGCGTACCGCCGTTGATAGTTGGCCCCGGAGGCTGTTATGCAATGCAAAAGCATCTTCGCTCTCGTACAGTAATTGCATTGTACTGCATATTGATCATGAGGACTACTTAAAGCTACTACAACAACTTGGTTTCGTTTACTCCTAGACCTACGCTCTGAGTCAGCATTTTACAAGAAGCACCCTTTTTTCGTTTCTGAAAAGAATTATTGCCAATCTTGCCATGCAATTCCTACAAGTAGTGCGATGCTTTAGCAGTGCGTAGAGGTGGTGCTTGAGACGCTTGCTCGAAAACCCCACACCCGTAGCAAACACCGACCGCGATTCCGGCCAGGAGCACGACGCTTCCCAGAGAAATCGCCGCGATCAGAAGCCAGTTCGGGCGGGAAGCGGTTTTGCCGCTTTGCAGCTGTTGAGTGGCACGACCACGCGCATCTTGGTCTGTCTTCTTGTTGTTCAGGTTTTTCTTCTTGCCGTGGTAGTTTCCGTTTCCCACATCACCATCCTCATCTTCTCCAAACGGGAACGGCAACGGCTGTGGGTTGTGGTCATGTGACAAATTACCCTCGGTGTCGGAGGCGAAGCTCGGAGGCTGCTCCACGTCCACCGCGCGTTCCTCGCCGGCAGCCAGGATCATGTAAGACCCATGTCCAGACGAGTTGGTCATCATGGTGGTATCATGTCCACCAAAAGCGTGATGCTGAACATCGTCGTTCTTCCCGAGCATAAAATCGTCCTCGTGCTGCTCGAAAGCACCATTGTGCTTCCGAAAAGTAGTAGCGCCGCCGCCGGGGCGGGGGGCCATCGTGATCTTACTTTGATGTCCCGGCTGCATTTTGGTAGTTGTAGGAAAGTGGACGCTCACCGTTTGGCGTTTGACGGTGTCCTGTCTCGGTCCGATTCCCTCTCCCCGTGAGATGTGTGATGCGCGATAGAAATATTGCGGTCTTTTTTAGTGGTTAGAGATTTTCAAGGAAATAATGTGAAGATTTTCGAGATATTTGTCCAAAACGATTTCAGAAATTGTCCAAAAAGTAAAAGGTAAAATTCTTTATTCCTCAGGTCTTGTAAAATTCTTTATTACTCAAAGAAAAAGGTTTTGTTTTCTCGTTCCTGTTTCCCCACGGTAGAAATTCCAAGGAAAATCGATCCGCGAGATCTACTAGACTCGAACGTGCGATAAGTACTGCCACCAGCGGAGCAAAGCCGGTAATATTTTTGACTTGATTTTTATTCTTAATACGAGAAATAATTATCCATGTAGAGATTTTTTTGTGGCGAAACAACTTCTTGTTAGAGAAGGTTGTTTTTGTACTCCGTACTTCTTGTTTTTGC